AATTATTATGAATTCTGTCATTTTGTTCACATGGATCCAAGTTTGCGTCTCATCTTCTGTTGGGGAAAAAAATCTGATGTGAGAGGGCCCATGAACAGTAAGAAGTAAGATGAGTGTGCTGCATACATGTGACTTTAATGGTCTCAAACTCCAAAAAATCTGCTAATTATTATTAGGGCTGGGTCTCATTAAAAAGCTGCTGATACGATACATACCTCAATACACAAGCCATGATACATATCTTAATACAGTGCACTTTTGGTTCGATACGATATATTTCAAATCAATTCGATATGATTCAATAAAAAATAAAGAATAAATCAGGGCTGTGATACTAAAAGTCTTTGTTAAATCACGTCTTGTGCAAAGTTCATATGAAACAAACATTTTACTCATCAAAACAGTGAAAATGTCAAATGTGTCACATAAATGAGTTTCCTTCCTCTGAACAAACCACAAAACTGTAGCTGTTGTGGCAAAATACTTTGGTAAAATATACCAAAAAATACTCTTGGCGATATATCGATACAACAGCCCACGATATTGATACTGTATCATCACATTACAATACAATATCACATCACAATACGATATATCAATATTACCACTAATTATTATTGGTACTACTGTATTTTTTGGACTGCAAGTCACTCCGGAGTGAAAAAAAATAAAATATAAGTTGTAATATAAGTTGTAAATGTAAGCACATTTTGGGGGAAATTTATTTTATAAAATCAGAGACCAGGAACCAACATTTAATGCTGAAAGTCAAGTTCTAGTAAAAACAATAGAAGAGAGAACAACAGACTGTTAACGTCACATATGAACAGTTCTTCAGATAAACTATAACATAAACAACAGAACAGAACAAGTTTACCAAACTCTCCATCTCACTCCAAATCACAAAATCCATTCAATTCTTCATCCTCTGTGTCACTTCTGAGCAACTCCCCGACCTCCGGAGGTAAACAGAGCACCGCTTCCTCTTCTGTGTAACTGTCGTCAGACTTAGCATCAGTTCAACTTAGAATTATTCTGGCCTTTCTGAATCCCGACAGGATGGTTTCGTTGTCACTGAAGTCCAGGCTTTGTCCATCCATCCAGTGACTTCAGGAAAGTTGCATGGTGCATCCTCCCTGTTGCCGTGCAAGTTTTTTTTTCTGCTGCTCGATTACCATTTTCAGCTGAATATTTCACTACTTGTAACAGGACAGCAGCTTCTTCTGCAGGACACATGCGCAGTAGAGCCAAGTGACAGTGGTACAGGGGTAATAGGAGTAACAGATACTGATACACAAGATTAGAGCCTCTCACGGCTTCAGTGTAAAAATTTAAATATATAAATCGCACCGGAGTATATGTCGCAGTCTGAAAAATGCAGTACATTGACCTTGTGCTGGGGGTGTTCTGAATGTATTTCTGTGGCGGAATGTTCAGCAGTTGCCATAGTGACATCGTGCACACATTAACAAACACTGCCTGATAAGAAAACTCGCATGGTAGTTCCAGCCAAGTCAGCTCTTTCTGTTCAGATTATGTTAAAACGAACTCCAGACAGAGCAGGGCCTCTCGTTAGCATCACACCCCCAGGTAATATTGATGACATCAGCTGCAAAGTATCAATAATCAGATATAGAGTTTGCACGTAATGTAAGCGCAGCCAGTTCCATCTGATGTGAGTAATCTGGTTTGTCTCTGGTTGTTCACGCCTGTGCAGGTTTTGACAAGGAGAATGATGCAAATGTGCGAACGGGTGTTTTTTTTGGTGATCACATTTCTCATGAACATGTAAACACACCGAAAATAACATCTCATTATTGGGTTGTCTTATTATTCTAGTTATCACATTTTACAGGCCATGTGAATGTGCTCCCCATTAAGGCTGCAACAAATAATCACTATTGAACTATAAAAAATAATGGTAGTCGTGTTTTAAATGTCCTATATTACACAAAATTGACTCTTGTGAGCTTTAAACCATGTTATAATGCTGTTACCTACGCAAAAACAGACCTGGAGTTGTGTTTTGTTTTATTCATATATGTTTGAGTAATTCTTTATTATTAGTCTGTCTGCTTCTCCAAAGCTCAAAATGCTTTGCCAAGTTATGATGTCATACAGTGGTAGTTTTCAAGGGAACAGCTCTTTTTACCTTTTGTTCAGTATAGCTTGGCAATTCCAGGGCTGAAATTAGCCAAATAATTCTAGTGAAGGTGCATGGAGTTTAAAAACACAATGAAGGCCTTCCTGTATTACTACATGACATCACAAGGTGGAACACAGTGTTTTCTGTTTGAGAGGAGAACTCAGCCTAATTATGCAAGATTTATGTTTTAAACACATAAATCCCCCCCCCACACACACACACACAATTGCAGGTACCCATATGGAAAAAAAAAAAAACAGGGAAAAAAAAAGAATTTACCTCTGTCTTTGTAGTAAATCTTTATATACGGTTAATATGTGTCATGTGTGGTTCACTCCTGAAAGTGTTTCCCCTTTTACATTTTTCTCATACAACTATATTATGAAAAACTAGTAAAGATAAAGTGAACATTTTGCATGACATTTACAGGTAATGTGCATGATAAACTACATTTTCTTTGTATGTTCCATGTAATGTTTGTATTTTTTAATTATATGTTGCAGTTAAAAAAAACAAAACTAAATATGAATCAGAAAGGGGATTTGAACCCAGGTTGCCTGTGTGAAAATCCAGTAATATACCAGCTGAGCTAACCAATTATTGCTTGAAATCTAGCAGATGTTGAGGACAGTTACAAGTACCTTTGTATCCCACAAGCAAATGGCTCCTCAAAGACACAACAAGGAAAGGGGCTACAGGATTTTGCAGAGTAAAAATCTTTTCACAGCCTGATGTATGTTCACTGTGATATCACTGAAAGAGCTATGTCTTATGTTTTTTTAAGGTTGTAATGCAATATTTGCATTACTGTGTTTACCCCCATGCTGCCCAACACACACACACACACACACACGCACGCACACACACGCACACACAGACACACTCGCACGCGCACACACACACACACACACACGCGCGCACACACACCCCAACACACACACACACATACAAACACACACAAACACACACACACACACACACACACACACACACACACACAAACACACACACACACACACACAGACACACACTGTGATAATTTTCTTTCTCACTCTCATACACACACAACACAGCAATCGAGTTTAAGGAAACAATCATCATTTCCCTTGTTTTTCTATGATTCTGTGGTAAAAATGACCTTTCTCCAACACTTGTGAGGAGATTGTGTGTGGGATTAGTGTCATATTCAGCCCTTGCAGGTTACAAAGTTTTATATGTTTCATACTGCACATATTTACCATGAGGAAACAACTAGTGAGCGACTGATATGTTTTTTTCATAGCCGATACCGATTGTTTAAAATCCATAGCAAGCAAATGCAGATGAGCTGATATGAAGGGCCAATGTTGATTACTTTCTTTAAATTATGTAATTTAATTTACTACAAACTCACCCACAACCCTTTTTATGACAAACCCTTAAGAGAACTGTGTACATTTTGTGTGCGTTTTTTATGCAGCAGATCAGCCAAAACAAAATATTGGGCTGTGCGGAGATTTAAAGGTTGTGTGGAGGATTTTTTTAGTTTGTTTCAAATTGTCAATGAAAGTTCAAACTAGCATTATAGAGATGCAGCAGCCTTGTAATTATGATGACCAAAAAAACAAAAAAAAAGAAAATCCATCAGCTGTGGATGTGGTGGGGCCAGATAAACATTAGTCAATAGATAACAAGGCTTCCTGGTTATCTATCAAACTCCCAAAGTCTCTAGCGTAACTGACTCTCTGGCGTGCTGGGATTACATGGTTTACGTTCGGCTCTCACGTATTTCACATAAGAAGGCGCTGTCGCTGTTTCGAACTGTAGCTTCCTCACAGTTAGCACAAAGTTTGTTGCAATGGCAGACAAGAATCCACGACCAGTTAGCCGCAAAAAGAAAGTCAGTTTTTGAGGTTGCTGATAGAAAAAGGGAAGGTAAAAAAGAGCAAACCCAGACTAAGGTGATTATTAGAGATTACTTCCAGCAATGGCGTGCACAGAAGCAGACGAAGGGTTAAAAAACTGACGTGATGGCCGCTGAATTACTTCTGGACAGGTAACTTCAACAGCAATTCATTCATCAAATCTGAACGCGCAGTGGTTGTAAACAAGCATGATTTCTAGTGTAAGGAGGAGGAGGGAGGAGGTGTTTCTACTTAGGGAGCTGTGGAGGAGGAGCGTAATGTCTAGCCTGATAAACCATCTGACCTCGAAAGTGTTAGAATTCGTTCGCTCGACAGTAGGCAGGTACTTTTTACCATTTAACCAAACGCTGATATTTGGTCGTGACGTATGTAATGCACCACTAACGGGGCTAACTGGTATATTAAGCTTTTCCCAAATCCCGTAGGAGGAAGGGCAATAACATCTTTCCCCTTGATAAAATTCACCAAACATTCTCTTTGTTCGGGCTTTAAATCCTCGATCTCGGGAATCGTTGCCAACACAGAATATATGGTTCTTCGCTGATTGGCTGGTGTCCGACCTCGCACTTCCGGGGTTTTTGTGAACCTTCTAGTGTATTCTGATTCCTGAACTAGTTGCTGGAGAGAAATTAAATTGCACAGAGGCACTAGGTGGCACCAACCTGGCTAGGTGATGTCACACATGTGTAACGTTTGAAAAAGGACAGTCGCTGTATTTCTCTTTCCTTGGAGAATCCTTGATACAACCTTTAAAGCCGATCGCCGATATGCTAAAAAGTCCAAATATCAGCTGGTTGATATATCGGTCTATCTTTAGAAACAACATTATAACACAGATCAGAAAAAAAAACACAATAGTACATATAGTGTATCTTCTCTTTCCTTACATCTCCTCACCAAACCTCCCCCATATGTGACTCATCTTATGCTTTTGTTATTTCTTCTTCCAGGCTGTACCCCTCAGAAGTGCGGCCGAGCGGTGACGGACGCCGTAGTGACCAGAGAGGAAGCTGAGGTACTGCGCAGGTAAACAGCACAGTGTATGCTAGAGCGCATCTCCTCTGTGTCTATGCATCTGAATAAAACATATACTGAAGCGTGCATCTCCTGTCTGCTCCTCAGGCTGGCAGAGAGAGGACTGGCGCTGGCCGGGTCAGAGGGAGGAGTGAGTATGGCTTATTCATGTGTTTGGGTTACCTCGCTGGGTTAGCCTATCTTACTGTCTTTACTGTCTTAAAAGCATTCTCTTAAAGGCCTCATATTGTTTTATTTTCTGTTATAATGTTTCCACATCAAAAAAATGCTGGAGTTGTGTTTTGTTTCATTCACACGTTTAACACACAAACCCTGCAGATTTAGGCTGTGTTCTTCTCTCAAAAAGAAAATAAAAACTCTTGATGATTTCCTTATTATTCACTGCAGTGAGTTTAGATACACTTTTCACAACGCACAGAGCTGTGAGTAGAGTTTTGTCGTCACCGTAATGCCAACAACTTGCATGCCAACAACTAGCATGCTAACACACTCTTCCTGAGTCTCAAACAACAGAAGGCTTTACATATAGAGGCTACGCCACTAACCAGTTTTGATGTTAGCAGCTACAGTTTTTTAGCCTGTTTTAAAAAGTCTTCAGTCGCATGCAGGTGTTGCGCCCTCTGCTGGCATTACAAACATGACCTTGAATAAAATGAACAAACAACAACAATAACAAATGAACATGTGTTGCCAGAGCCTTAACCTGTTGGTTCTCATTCTCAGCATATGGACAGAACATGTCTCATGTGAAATCTCAGAACCTCCAGAATTCCCTCCCTGTGCTGCAGGTGCTGCAGGTGCTGCAGGTGCTGCAGGTGCTGCAGGTGCTGCAGGTGCTGCAGGTGCTGCAGGTGCTGCAGGTGCTGGGGTTTAGGTTGTGATCATTAATTTTAGAGTTAGGTGTTAGAACTCATAACCCAAACGTAACAGTTACACATTACAGTTGTTATCAGTTAATCTGGCTCATACCAGATTGATCTGTGTGTCACTCTGAATTGAGTTCTACACATTCTCCATCTGGAACAGCGCTCGCTGAAAGCGTTTAGAAAAAGGAGGGACTTGCAGCAAAATGCCTAGAGCTGATTGAGCGAATCACCCCAAAGAACCACCCACCAGGTTCTTTATAGCCAATCATGGCAAACCTGTCAAAATGAGTATCCAACTTGCTTTAGGTAAAAACAAAACAAGTGTCATGTTGGAGATGGAAGATGTCCATAAACCAATTTAGATGTTTTTGCAAACAAATTTGTGCATTAAAGGTTGTATGGAGGATTTTTCTTTTGTTTCAAATTGTCAATGATAGCATTATAGAGATGCAGTAGCCTTGTAATTATGATGACCAAAAAAAAAGAGAATAAAAATTCATCAACTCTGGATGTGGTGGGGCTAAACATTTGCCAATAGATAATGACACTGCCTCGTTATCTGTTAGCTGACAGGCTGTCAATCAATCTCCCTACGTTTCTAGCGTAACTGACTTGCCTGCGCGCCGCCGGTACGTGGTTTACGTACGTCTGTCACGCAGTCCACAGACGCAAGCCGCACAGACGCTGTTTACTCCACCAACGCAACAGTTCTTAGCGGCTTTTTTTGACCTATATCTTCCTCGCAGTTAGCACAAAGTTTGTTGCAATGGCAGACAAGAATCCAGGAGCAGTTAGCCGCAAAAGAAAGTCCGTTTTTGAGATTGCTGAAAGAAGAAGACAAGGGGAAAAGCAGCGAAGCCAAACTAAGGTGATTCTTGGAGATTCATTCCAGCGATGGCGCGACTGAAGCAGACGCAGGGTCTAAAGACTGACGCATTGGTCGCCAAATTACTCCTGGACAGGTCACTTCTGCTTATTATGAAAACGTACTTTATTTCCAAGAGCTAGTCAAACGTTTTTCAGGACACGAAAGCGATATCCTATGTCTGAAAACGTAATTTTCAAGGCAAAGAAAGAGTCCGCTTGCTGCTGCGTGTTGTAGCTAGTTCATTCGCACTGAATCTCCGCGCGCAACCTTCTCTGCTCCCCTTTCCTGCTCCTCTCCCCGCTGCCCTATCCGCTCTTCCCCCTGCTCCTCACTTCTCCGGGCACGGAATCTCCGCGCACCGCTCCCCTCTCCCCTCTCCTCTCCCTGCTCCCTGCTCCGCTCTTCTCCCTGCTCCTCACTTCTCGTCCGCACACGAAATGTCCGCGCACCCGCTCCTCCCGCTCCTCACTTCTCCGTCTTGCCTAACCAACACTGTAGTTAGTTGTTTACAAGTCATGTGCAGCGCACCGGCTGTAAACAAACCTGTTTCTGGCGTAAGGATGAGACGGGAGGAGGCGTTTCTACGTAGGAGCTGTAGGGGAGGGGGGTGGTTTCACGCATGCGCAACATTTGAAAAAGGACAAACAGTCGCTGGATTTCTCGTTCCTTGGAAAATCCTCTATACAACCTTTAACTTTGCACCTGACAGCACCGTCTGCCGTCCGTCGTCATGTTGTCTGAAACTGCTCCCCCTGCCATCGAGGCCCTGTGACTGGGCCGACCACTGCACCATAACAATTTGCTTTTTCAGTTTTTTCGATTTTGTGTTTAAGTAAATAATGGCAATGATGAATAATGGTTTCCCATTTCTGTGATTTAAACTGCACTTGTCTAACATTTTAGGCGATCATGTTAACAAAATAACTTTCAATTTTAAAACATATATATTTTTATATGAAAAAGTGTAAATGTACAGCAATGTTTACAGCTTGCACTTACCAATGTAAGAACTAAACCAGGACTGATCCCAGGACTGAAACGGGTCTAAACCAGGTGTCCTCCTGTTTTAGTCCTGGCTTAGTCCTAGTTCAGTTCTGGTTTAGTCCTGATTTAGTACTGGTTCAGTCCTAGTTCAGTTAAGGTTTAATCCTAGTTTAGTCCTGTTTTAGTCCTGTTTTAATCCTGTTTTAGTCCGTATGCGGCGCAGAAGTCCGGCATTGCAGTTTAAGTCACGGAAAGGCGAAATGTCCATTATCTGTTTTTTTCATTTAAACACAAAACTGAAAAAATAAATTGTTATCCATTTTTTAAAATTTTGGTTTTAGAGATAAATAATGAAGTTTTTTTTTTTCTTAGTTTTAGTTTTATTTTGAAAAATGAATGAACGAATGATACACGGATTTGCCTTAACGCGGGGATCATGCTAATATGTTTTACAAAACAAAAAAGGTAACATGGTGATATAAATATGTTATGTGTTAGAAGTTAATACCCCATAGAAGTAAAATACACCCCCTCTTTAAAAAATAACAGTAAATATTTAAATTTATTTATTTTTTGTCCACGTATCTTACGTATTTGTTATAAAATTCATCAAAAAGTAATTGGAAACTCATTACTCTGAGCTGACAAAATTCAGTGTCTTTTTAAAAATAAATGAGATTATGTTAATATAGGTGCTTTTTGCTCTTCCCTCCATCTGCTGGCTAGTTTACCATTTGCATATTTTTAGAGATGCTTTCAGAAAACAGTGACAGTTTAAAGATACTTTTCTGGTGGAGTGAGTTTCTGCAGCTTGTATAATAATCAACTGATTCAAGGTGACTGAGCAGAACATTTTGCACTTTAACTGTAGCACACATTAAGTATGAGATGACTACAATGAGATTATTGTTCACACTTCTGTATAAAAGAACTGTAAAAAGAGCCAGTCTTTTCTCTTTGACATGAACAGATGCAAAAATTCGGATCCCATAAAAGAGTTGAAAGTCACATCACTAGCTGGAATGGCTCGTGGCAGCTAGTGATTAAGTTTGCAATAAATAAAATGTTTTTTAATTTGATGAATATAGCATCAGCCTGACTGATTTTGGCCACAAAGTTCTGCTTTTTACAGTTCACTTTCCAGAACTCCAGAGAATTTGACTTACAGGGTTCCCACAGTCATGGAAATACTGTAAAGTCATGGAAATTGAAAATGTTCTCATTAGGGTATTATGATTATTTACAAATGTATGCACCTTTTGTTTAAAAGAGACGACAATAAATGCACTGACAGAACTTTGAATGTTAAAAAACTATAATCCCAAACCATAAGGTGAGTGGAAAGAGTTAACATTTCATAATCATCATTTCTACACATATAGGTGCCGTAAAGTCATAGAAAATTCACTTTAAGATAATCCTTTATTGTTTCCCGTGGGAGAAATTTGTCTTGGGACGGGGGATAACATGCTTTATCAAAAACAGGACAACACAAAGCACCACACAAACACCACCACAGAACAAAATAGAACAAGACCAAGTATGACCATGAGTGATGCTGCAACAGAATCTTTTAAGTCACTCTTTACAGGCAAGCCCTTTGCAGTCTTGTATTCCATTAATAGTTGCACATTCTCTAACCTATGTGCAGTTTTGATTGCACATTATCTAACCTATTTGCAGTTTTGATTGCACATTCTCTAACCTATTTGCAGTTTTGATTGGACATTCACTAAAGCTCTGTACAGTTTTGATTGCACATTCCCTTGACCTCTGTGCAGTTTTGATTGCACAATCCCTAAGCCTCTGTGCAGTTTTGATTGCACATTCACTAACCTATGTACAGTTTTGATTGCACATTCCCCTGACCTATGTGCAGTTTTCATTGCACATTCACTAATCTATGTGCAGTTATCATTGCACATTCCCTTTGACCTCTGCACAGTTTTGATTGCACATTCCCTAACCTTATGTGCAGTTTTGATTGCACATTCACTAAAGCTCTGTACAGTTTTGATTGCACATTCCCTTGACCTCTGTGCAGTTTTGATTGCACATTCCCTTGACCTCTGTGCAGTTTTGATTGCACATTCCCTAAGGCTATGTGCAGTTTTGATTGCACATTCCCTAAGCCTATGTGCAGTTTTGATTGCACATTCCCTAAGGCTATGTGCAGTTTTGATTGCACATTCCCTAAGCCTATGTGCAGTTTTGATTGCACATTCCCTAAGGCTATGTGCAGTTTTGATTGCACATTCCCTAAGCCTATGTGCAGTTTGCCATGATTTTAGGTCATGAAAAAGTCATGGAAAAGTTTTAACATTTTGTCAGTGAAAAAGAGTGGGAATCCTGGACTTATTTATGAGACAAAATTGGTTATTTCAGCTTTAAAAGGTTGCTTTCACTTTCTTAAATTTAATGATGCCATAATTTCAGATTGAGAGCAAGTGCCTGTATAACTCTATGGAAGATTATTCTGCAGTCTGACAGTTAAACAGCACATTCCACCATAAACTTCTGACCTGTCCTCCAGCTTGGGAAAAGGGATTCTAAAATGTCAAGATTGCGATGCGATTATTAGCGACGTCCCTAGTCACTGTGTCACTGGGCAAGACAATTCACGGCTACAAAGCGTGTTTTCACTGCTCCTGTCTGCGCTCAATCAGCCGTGTTGTGCAGTTTAAGACCTGTCACTGTCCCACTGCGCTGCCTTTACTCTTGCAATGCATCGTGGGTTATACTGATCCATCCAGTGACAATAGAAAAAACACTTGTAACGACTATTCAGCATGAAGGACTCTAAAGCGAACGGTTGAAGACACAATTTAAAATGCGCTTCCCTAACAACAAGCAAGGAACAAAGAAAGAGAAAAGTTTGTGCTTCTCGAAAAAATCTTCATTTTCCACCTGCTCACATCTCCGTAAGGCAATGCTGTACTATCCAAATCTTTTCTCATTTGAAATTCATAGTATGTTCAAGTTGAGCTTTTGAAGATGCTGCTAATACTAACCGCCCTGACTTACATAATGAAACGCTAACTTCGAATAGCACGGTTGCAAATCCACATCTACAGAAATAGCCTATGTTTGCGCTACCGTATTAAATATTTATGAGAACAAAATGACAATATATCGCATAAGGGGGGCAGAGCTGATTTAGTAGTTGGCCTCAGATGGAATATATTGTAGCTTGTAAATTATAATTTCTTTTTATTACAGCAAAGTCTGCAGCAGCTCCCTCTCTGAGCCTGGCTGGGAACTTGGCCACTGGCGCCATAGCGAAAGCAGTTCATAAATTGGTTGTTGCGTAATAAAGGGATACAGTTCAATGTGCCAAGTTTAACCATGTAATATGATTATCTACGGTGGCTCACTAGGGACATTTTGTTGTACTTTTAAAGAGGGGATGTTACGCAAGATCGACTTTGTAGAGCTTTCTACCATGTTGTAATGTTCCCTCATCAAAAAGATGCCTGAAGTGGTATTAAATGTCATCCATGCATGTTTGACTAATCTAGAGATCTCTCCCGGGCTCTACTCGAACCCTCCCTATGGTTAGATGTACAATTCTGTGCACTGCTCCTCCCACGAGCTTAAGTCACCCATTCTCCCACACGACAATTCTCCGTAAATATACAAAAGCGTGTTGCAAAACAATAGACTACGACTTCTCAAACCTGTTGCGATGTGCAGTAGCACATTGATTGTAATGTGGTAGTGCTCTGAAGGCGGTGTGTGACTTAATATTTTAAATATTGAGATATATTTTTAAACATGAAATGGATTCTGACATATCATATATATGGATGTAATGCTTATATTTAATTCTTATTTCTCCGCTTTGCTTTGTTTGCCTTCTCTGTGCTCGCGCCCCCGCCTCCTTGCTTTTGTTACCCCTCCCGTAGCATGTTGTCTCATTCACTACTCACTACTGCCATGAATACAAAAGTTGGTACCAACCAAAGCTTCTACCACCACGAACCTTTCCATCATTTACAGACTCAGCATCATCAGCACATCCTCTGTCACATAGAGAACACTCATATTCCATTGAGCTGTGTCCTTTAGTCCGACAGAAGCTGAACTGCATCAGTGCACAAGGAGTGAGCAGTTTTTTTAGTGTTTATAATTGGCGTAAATGAACCATTTGGTTTTAAGTTTCGTGTTTCCGATCGCCCCTAAAACACAGTATGTTTGTCCAATGTGAGTACAATCGATCTGTGCTCAGGCACGGCACGTTTGGGACTTTGGTTGGATGAGGTGGGCCAAAGGTTGCTCATGTACGCGCACACGCACGACTTTACTATACAAGCCCATATCATGCAGCCCCAGAAGCATTTTGTTCTCATCTAAAGTTTTCCAAAATTAGGTTTGTACTTCTAATGCAACTTTTGTGATTTATCTCTGGAGGGCACACTACTACAAATTGCAGGACTATGGATCTTTCACTCATAGTAGCTACTTTCCAGTTGGAAAAGTCCTCCTCTCCCCTCTGTGTCCTCTGTAGACCTCTGGAAATCAATCTCTGTGAAGTGTGAAGGACCACACGGGGCGAGGGAGGGGGCAGTCGTGACGGGGGTGTCTGAGAAAATTATCTGTTTTTAGGGCTTGTAGATTATAGTACTGTAGTTATATAGAGGATCAGAGACAGGACTAAAATTGACCATTAAAGATATTGCTGTGAAATGAACAATTGCAATGAAATCAAAATGGATGTCAAATGTCATTATCGCATTTATCTAACCTGCTGTCCCTCTAGTTTACACTGTTTTAAGCAGCTTAAAATGTGCCCTCTCAAGCCAAATTCCCAACTGTAAACATAAATTACAAATACAATACTTGTCAGAGAAATCCAAAAGAGTAAATATTTCTGAAAAAAACAAAAACTACAACAAAAATCCTGAAAGCATCTATAAAATAATAATGATTCAAATAAAAAACACACAATACAATACAGCGCAGGTTAAACATTTAAACCAAATTACTAATAAATGAAATAAATTCTGCTGTGTCTTGTTTGCATCGAATTATAAAGCATTTTATTGTCTGATAATCAGGAAGTGCGTGATTTACATACAGCAAAAAAGTGGAGTGTTAAAATTGAGTCTCACAGAATCAATTTGAACATTTTCTCAGGGTTTTATGAGTCCAGTCTGTTCTAGAGTTAATTTAACATTTTCAGAAATGTTAATTAAGTAACACTGGACCAAAGTTCCTGTTTAACCCCAAAATCAAGAGTTATATTAACATTTTGAGAGTAAATGGATAACACTTCGTTATGATTTAGCTAAACAATACAAAGATAGGTTTTATTTCTACACTTTATTTTTGTTAATTTAAGATGGAATTATGAACAAAACTGGTTCAAACTGGTCTTCTCTTACAAGAGTTTGAAATGTTGGGTGGGAGGAGCCAAATTAACACTAAGGGAAGTTGAATGAACACTAGGGGAAGTGGAATTAACTTCAACCATATAAACTCTGGCAAATATCCCCAACCCAAACCCCCATTTAACTTTAAAATGTGTTAAAAACAACTCTGAAATATTTTACCCTGAAATTTTAACCCTCCAGTTTTTGATGTGCAGGTTTTGATAACCTCTTATAAACTCATCGTTGTGAATAATTATAATGCTCAGGATGTGTGAGGTAAGTGAGGAATAATTTGGATCAGCGCAAAACGTTTCAAATGTACTAGTTCTGTTTTTCACCTTTAAGACAGTAAAAATCAGATACGGTGACTTTAAATGGTCACATGGTCACATTTTTCTATAGCGCTTTTCCACCTTCAAGGCACTCCAAAGCACTTTACAACAAGGAACGAGACGAAACTGAAAACTCACCTCTTCTCCCTGGCATTTAGTACGAGCTAGTCAGGTTATCTTGGTGTTTTTATTGTTAGTTTTCACATGTTTTCTGTATATATGTATTTGTAACTCTTTCTTCTATTTTGTTGACTTGTATGTAAGCACTTTGGTCAGCTGAAGTTGTTGTAAATGTGCTATATAAATAAACTTGAGGAACTTGAGGAAGCCACTCACCCATTCACTCACACATTCATACATTCACCAATGTACACAGACACTGGGGGCGAGGTGGGTTAAATGTCTTGCGCAAGGACACAACGACAGCATTCATGTGTGGGAGCTGGAATCACACCAGCCAACCTGTGGGTCAATGGATCTGGCCTCTCAACCAGTGATGTTTTTTGTGTCAAGAGCGGGATTCAAACACCAACCGTCAGATCAGTGGATGAACGATCTACCAACTGAGCTACTGCCGTGACTTTAAACATTGGTCCTTCAAATGCTTTTCTCCATGGAGATGTTATTGCTTTGTCTGGGAGGTTTCACAGTGTTGCATTAAACCTTTCTATCTTCATGGAGACCAAACAAGACCAAGTTACAGATCAGATCTGTGGAGCGATGACCCTGCTCGCAGTCAGAACACTTGTTTTTCTATGTATTTTTGAGCTATAAAACCACCTGTAATTGAATAAATGTTAGGCAGAACTGTTTAATGTGATAATGTGAAACGTTCCAGGGAGAACAATGACATCTCCATAGAAACAAGACCCCCAACCAAAAAGTGACAGTGCTGCATTAAAGTAATCTTCTCGTGTACAGTGGTAATGTGCCCTGAATGCAACCCTTCACACCTTTAATCTTATATTGTAATTTGTTTGTTCTCCACAGGCTTCCATACTTGACCTGCACTCTGGCGCGCTGTCAATGGGCAAACAGTTTGTCAACATTTACAGGTGAGGACGGGAGTCACAATACTTTACTTTAAGCTTTCTGCCTGGTTATAATGTTATTTCTCCAAAACCATGCTTAGAGTTGTGTTTTGTTTCATCCACATCTGCTTTTGTAATCTTGTATTCTCAACACTAGACCACACAAGCTTTTAGAAATGATTTACATATGGGTCTGGAACCATATCCTGTCTCCCCGATTACCAAAGGGTTTGATTGACAGACGGATTAACCAATCAGAGAGAGGCATGTGCTGATCACGTCCAAAACAAATGTGCTGGCTCACAAGTAGAAAGAAAAAGAAATTATAACAACAAGAAGGCGTGTTCACGGTTAACTCTTGGCAAACCTGAGTGACTCTACAGTATTTATGGATTAATATGAATTATTATGGAATGACTAATATGAATTATGTATAGTTTAATCTGGACGGTTACATTAGTGAAGAAAATAGACTGGAATATTCATGCTCTTTGACTGAGCGTCTAACACTGTTGGTTTATTCATAGTCACACCTACAAAATGTGTTTACACCACTTCTGTCTGCACTCGTTCAGCCATGTTGTGCAGTTTAAGACCTGTCACTGTTCCACTGCGCTGCCTTTACTCTTGTAATGCATCGTGGGTTATAACGATCCATCCAGTGACAATAGAAAAAACACTTGTAACTATTCACCGTGAAGGACTCTAACATTAACGATTAAAGACACAGTTTAAAACCAACCACTATAAAAAAGTGGACTTAGGCCCCATCCACACTAGTATGTATTTGAGTTGTTTTTGTTGTGGATGCAGTGTTTGTCCACACTAATCTGATGGAAAACGACTCCAGAGACAGAATGATCTGGTGCCATCAGCTCCCACGAATTCATCTGAGTACAGATCTGATCTGGCACTGTGTGGACACCTGAAAACGCTGATACGCTGATTTAGGTCTATGCACTGCGAAGTAATTCACTGCCAAAATGCTAAGAGGCTAGAATATATGTCCATTCATATATACATGTTATGTTAGCTATGTCCATTTATATATACAATCTATGTTTAAAATGCGCTTCCCTGACAACAAGCAAAGCCCTGAACTCTTTTCTCTTCAAGAATATTCAAGAGGACATGTCTTACATCTGCTATAAGCTAACTACTGCAATTGGAACATCTCAAAACAGAATATTTGTGTAACGCACCTGGCCAGAGCGACATGTCAAAGCCTGATCTCGTCACATCTCAGAGGCTAAGAGGGCTGGGCCTGGTTGGTTGGGGGACCGCTGGGTATATCACGGACCACAGTGGGCGTCAGTGGTAAAAACTGCTGTTGTGTCTTTAGCCAAGACATTTGAGAGAAAGTTGGTGGTGGTCGGAAGGGCCAATGTCGCAGATTTGCAACCTCACTCCCTTCAGTCTGTCCAAGGGCAGCTGTGGCTACAGTAGTAGTGTGTGGTAGTAAAGTGTGGAGTGAATGAACAATGCACTGTAAAGCACTTTTGTGTGCCTTGGTATTCAATGGTTAATTCATTAATTAACTTTATCACCTGTTTCCAGACCATTCGACTTTAGAACTAGGGATGCAAGGATAGTTTCCCCACTATTTGATACGTATCTCGATACATGGGTCACGATATCGAATTGATTTCGATACGTTTTAAGAAGTGAATGTAATTTTTTTCTGCTAATGAGTATAATATAATAACACTATGATATTAATGAAACAATACATACATTACATTCAATACATTAAAGTACAACTACTGTGAAGTTGTCATGATAGAGGTGGTTAAATGTGCCTGTCCTTCTCACCGGAAAGCGCTATGGGGACTTACTTAGCAACAAAACACACTCTCTGTCAATCAAACCTGTTGCTTACACTAGGAGGAGTGACCTCGGGGAATGAAGGCATCTTATTGGTCCGTTATTTATGTTCATATCTTAGTTTAGGAACAAAATAGTTAAATGAAAAATTCAGGATCATGTAGAGTGCATTAATGTGATTTTAAGACCAAAATGACGAGGCTCACAGCAGCAGGTACAGAGAGAGGAGTTGTTGGGAGAATGTAAAATGCAAATAATAGTTTAGATACAATCCATGTCCTCCACCAACTCCCCCTTGTGGTGACAGCTTAAATTTGACAAACGTATATTTGATTTCACTGATTGAGGTCATTTTAATATTGATGCCGTACAAACTAACATTCTCAACTCGTCGCTGTGCCAATCACAAATCTTCATGACTAACCTCTTCAGTCAAATGAGCCCCGCCCCCCTCCATCACTCCTGCCACATTCCACCTGCACCCGTTTCCCCGTGTCACCCTTACCCAAGCACCCTCATCAAGCTTATCCTAATTAGAGAGCCACCCAAGATAGCACCCGCCATCCCTCCCACGGAGCACCCTTCCAGGTCATTCGTCTAATTTATGCGAACGGCTATCTCGCGCTGTCTCACCTGTCCTGCTGTTTGAGGTCTTGTAAGTTGGTGGAGCTAATTTTATTTTGTTTTTTTGTGTGTGGGTTGCAGGTATTTTGGAGACCAAATCGACGAGGTTTTCACACAAGAGGATTTCCAGCTTTACAGGTGAATGAAACACAATTAAAAAGAATGGCGACACTGCATTCGTTTGACTGAACAAAACAAGATTAGATCCCACGTGAGGGAGATTTACAAAAATCTGCCCAGGATAATACATTCATTTGCAAGTGTCTGCTTAGTTACAGCCTTTTTACAAACACAGCCGCGGAGTCCCCTAGCGCCTTTGTGAGCTTTTTCAATTATTCCAGAATCTCCGAAGTGAGATGGCAGTGAAATTACAAAGACTTTGGGGCAGGTGCAAAGTTTCTAACTACAAAAGCAATCAGGTACGTGTTTGGAATTCAGAATTAAGCTCACTGGCCATTAGAAGTTAGAATACCGAATGCTTAAACAGTTACAAATGTTGTAGAATAAGAATTATGTGAAGAGTGATAAATAAAAGAACTTAACAAAATTCATTAGGGGTGTAACGATATCCAAGTCTCACGATACAATATTGTCACAATATGAACCTCACGGTTCGATATTTATTGCAATATTGTGGGAGAGTTCACAGTATGATGGGGAGGCTTACAATTAGGGATGTAACAATATCCCAGTGGTGAGGAGAAAATTCAGTTTGTCGACTAGACAAAAGTTTGTTTGGTTGAAGATGTTTTGCAGCTCATCCAAGCTGCTTCTTCAGTTCTGGTCAGAATGTTGGTGGACACTTCCGTATATCTGCAGGGAGGAGCTAACTAACTGAAACTAACACACCTACTTGTTTACAGTTTCTGTTAGTTAGTTAGGCCTATTGACCTGTACCTCGCCATGGATTCTACCTGGACGACTGAGGGATTCTACCTGGACGACTGAGGGATTCTTCACACAATATCCCAGTGGCGAACCATGGACCTGGACCCTGAGTTTCACTAGGACCAATTGCTGGCTATCGTGACATCATTTGTTTAAAAAAAAAAAAAAAAAAAAAAAAACTAAATGAAGCTTACAGACAGATGGATCCGTGCTCCAAGTTTATAACACTAAAATTATTACTAGTGTAGTGTTTATTACTTACCGAATAAAAAAATATAGAAAAAAATATATTAGTATTAGGCCCTGAGGGTTCCCCTCTGCAATATCCAAATCTCTTGTTACGATATTTTCACAATATACATCTCACAGTATGATATTTATTGCGATATTTTGTGGAGGCTGTGAACAAAACTGTTAATATGCTACTTTTTTTTTTATCTTAAAATGCCTTGACAAGACTTAATGCAAAAAACTAAGACTTAAAAGTGCTTAGAACTGTTATTTCTTCTTGTAGTCTGCACTGAAATGGAGCAAAGGCTCATGGTCTATGTAGTTCCCTCTGTCTTTTTTTTAGCTATTGCGGCAATATAACTGTTAATTTAAACAAAGAGACTTGTAATTCGATATATTGTGATGGTCCACGATATTATTGTGAGAACTTTGATGATACAATATCACAATATTTTGGTTATTGTTACATCCCTAAAATTCATGCAATCATAAACACTTACAGATTTGTGAAAATGTGTGTATAGTCGGGGAGCCAAAGTCTCAAAAATGGGTTGAACCTGACATCGCCTGCCATACTTTTTATTTGTGTTTTTTTTGTTAACTGTGACCCTGAGGACCAATAATTGGAGGGTCTGCTCTTCCGGAAATATCGCGAAAAAAAATTGTGGCCATTTTAGTGTAGGTAACCTTCATTTTGTGATAGAAAATTTTGAAAAATGAAAAATTTCCTCAAATCCTCAGTGGATTGGGTAAGCTGTCTACAAATACATTCCAGATGCAAAGAACACATGTGGTGACAACATTCAGTGAAAAAAATATTCATAAAACACATTTCTACATGATTTAGGCTCAATTTAATGCCAAAAAATAAGGCATTTTTTCACTTTTTTCCAGTATTTTCATCTTTACTTCATTGGCAATCAACTATTCCCCCAAGTTTTGACATCAGCCAATATGCCATTCTTTTCTTCAAACAGTATAGTCATTCCACAGAAAAAAATATAAAAATCCAACCAAAATCAATGGATCTGTGATGATTTCTTTACCATCAATAGGCCCAGAACCTCAATAGAATGTTAGGCTCCTCTCAACATTCCATAAGGCACACTGGATATTTAGCATGGTTGTTAATGTCCACATTATTAAACATTATGGCCTAGGCATCTTTTAAATACTACTACTACTACTACTACTACTACAAATAATAATAATAATAAATATAGCCGCAAGCGGCAATGATCGGCCCTCGCTTGAGCCTATGCCATGCCCAGGCCATGCCGCACCCTGGCCACGTTGAGCTCTGCACATGCTGTGCCCCACGAGTGCACCTTACTCATTGATCTAACTTCTAAATTAACACTAACCCCTAAACCTACGTGCACTCCTAACTAGGGATGGGCATTCGATGAAATTTTCTTAATCGATCGTCTGAAGAATTTAACGATCGATTAATCATTAACGTTTTTATATTAAAATGATCATCATTATTATTACTATCTGCACTACTAATCTGCATAAATAAATTCAACTTTACGACATATAAACCGTAACCACTCTAGAGCCACATCAATCCGTTTGAACATTTTAGTGTGTTTAATTCAGTTTTGCGCAACTCTCACAGAAACAAAACTTAAAACCGCATCGCTAATTTGCATAAACTCAGCAAAGATAAAACTACAGCTCTTGATGCGGTCAATTTCTGTCGGATTAAAAGACATGATTCAGTGGAATACAGGTTAGTGTGACCATATTTGCGTTTGTTAAAACCAGTATAGTCATTCCACAGAAAAAAATATAAAAATCCAACCAAAATCAATGGATCTGTGATGATTTCTTTACCATCAATAGGCCCAGAACCTCAATAGAATGCTAGGCTACTCTCAAGATTCCATAAGGCACACTGGATATTTAGCATGGTTTTTAATGTCCACATTATTAAACATCATGGTCCTTCGCTCCACCTTGTTCACGAATTTAAAAAGTCAATGCCAAAGTGAAAGGCACCAGCTGTTCACCAAGAAACACCTTCCACTGCAAAGAGACCAAGACGTGATGTTGCATGTTACCACATGACATCACAAGGTGGGACAGAGTGTTTTCAGTTTGAAAGAAGAACTCAGCAAGAAGAACAACACAACATAAATTGGAAAATAGTGTAACCCAGACCCTTTAAAAGCTAACTAAAAATTGAGCCTAAAGCAAGACTAAACCAGGAGCAGAACTGGTCTAAATCTGGATTTGCCAAGGTCAAAACTATGTCTGTGCACGGCAAACTGGCATAAAAGCTAAAGAATTACAGATATATTCCTTGTACAGTTCAACGTATAAAGTTTACTAATTAATTATATGCAAATTGTATTGTTTTGGAACAGTAAATCTGAAGAATTTCCACGGGCATTATCATTTGTTTCATCCACATTAAGCGTTATACTTTCCGAGCTCGTCTCTGGAAACCTTAACCACACTGGATCTCAGACTCCAGGAATCTAGTTTTAAAGTGACAGCTGTATAAATCGTGCTCTCCAGACCCCTGTTGAGAGTGTGATGAGCTGTGTGTGTTTGTGTGTGTGTCTGTAGGGATGTGCGGCGGAGGATCCAGGAGACCATCGCACACACGTTTGCTTTGGATGAAAACCTCCTGTTCCTCACCAAGCCCACCTTCTTCTCCAGAATCAACAGCACCGAGGCTAAGACGCAGCACGACGAATACTGGCACCCGCACATCGATAAGGTGACCCAACATGCCCCTCACATGTCACGGAAAAGACATCTAGTTGTGGTTAAAGACACAGTTTGTAACTTTTTTAGCCAAAAAACTGACTCAAAGTGGAAGTAAACACTAAATCCACTTTTTTCCTGCTACTAAACTGTGCATATGGTGTTTTAATAGCATGATATTCTGTTACTAGTCATTTTTATTACAACTTCAGTACAAACTGGGTAAATTTGCAGCTCTCTGGTCAAAAACTACTACATCTAAGTGTGTACTGTCTTCAGTGGCCTCTGCAATTTCCAGTAGTTGGTGACATCACACAGCCCTGCTCTGTTTACAGCCAAGGGCGTATTCCATGAAGCAAGCTAAAGTTCAGTTCCAGGCCACCAAAGTGACTGACCAGAGGTGACGCTGCAACAGTAACAAGCACCCAGAAACAAACCTGATCAGAACCAGACTAACTGTCAAGATTATTTTAGCTTTGTCTCCAAGAACATCTAAAGAAACAGTTTAGCCAAAAGTTTCAGCTCTTGCTTCACACATCTGTGTTAGAACACCTGCTGTCTCGGTCTGATACAGATGAAAAAGTGACTTTTATAGTCACGTGTCACTTGAGACTTTTACAGGTCATGCGCTCCTACACACGTGTGCCTGGACATGGGGCACGTGTGTGTGCACATGGGACATGTGTGTATGGACACTGCACTCATCACAAAGGCACAAATATTATATAAAGTCTATGGCCTTTATTTCATTCAAATTAAGTTGCACATCTTCATTCCCTCTTGCTCCCTGTCAAACTGCAAACACCTTATCATCTTATTCTTGTTAGGCTACATGTGAAGAGGTCCGTTACAACTTTACTTTTACACACAGTGGAAGTTTCACACCAGGAAGAGGTCAATCAACTTCATTCCCCAGGTGCTCTGGAGTCCGCACTCCGCCTCCTCTCTACCCGCTGAGCGACTGGGAGAGGAAGGGGAGTCGTGTTTTTCCTGTGGCTCCTCAGATCAGAATGACTGGTAAAGTTCCGCGGCCTAAATCAAACTCTGCGAGTGCACGCTGTAGCTCCTCTCTCGTTTAGTCAGATCATAAAAAACATCACATTTTTGGCCCATTTTCCGTGATATCGTTGCTTCATTGCTCTGACCTTCTCAGAGTCACTGCAAGCGTGCACAAAATGCAGCTTAAACTTCATCCCTGAATTAGCTTTGGTTAGACTCAGGCTTATTTCTTTCATGGAACAAGTTGAGGAGATGGAGCTAGTCTCAGCTCAGGATTTCAGGATAAACCTGGATTTGTTAAGCCACTATGATGGAATAACCCCCCAGAGTTTCTGACACAAACACCTGTCTGTAGGAGGCGGAGTTTGACGTGTGGATGCCTTTTTGACCAATCACAGTGTTCCTCACATGTCCAGACCCCGCCATTCCGACTCCCTCACTCTCCCTTTTAGTCCTCCAGGTTCTGCCCAACTCAGCAGCTCTATTTGAAACGTGCTTGTGGGTGGACTTCAGGCATTTTGTCCCACTTGCTTCGTTTTTATACATCCATTAAAATACAACGCATGTGTAGAATCAGATAGAGAATAAAAGAAAAGTAAAAACTGTGAAATCACATTATAATTTCTGTCAATTATTTTCTGATAATTACATAGTTCTCCTCAAATCTAAAGTTTGATTGTCGTGATCTTTTCAAATCATGCCTATTTTACTTTGTTTTGGTTCTATTTGAGTTTATTCCATATTTAATCAATAGCAGGGGATTGCAGAAGTGAAACCTTTGAAAGAAGGTGTCCCATTTTTGTTCTAAATGGTGGATATTTAAGACTCCATTTTGTTATGTGTTATGAAAGCAGAAAAAAAGAATCCACGTGAACTGAACTGGTCTTATGTCATTCATGTAGACTGTTATATATGTGACTGTATTTGCCATGTCATACTGCTGGAAGGGCGCAAAACATCTCCTGTATGTTTTCAGCGCTGGTTTCTCTGAAGTTGTCCTTGGAGCGTTCTCAGAAACAAATCTCTTTCTACAGATACAGCTGAGTCTTTGCTGATTTATGCCACTGAAGCAATAACCCAAGAGCTAATTTAAACTGCAAAAACTATTCTAAATCTACAATATTGTTAAAAAATAAAAAAAAATAAAATATGAGCTGCCGTAAATAAACAGCAGAATGAAAAACTTTGCTACTTAGTTTACATCTGTAATGAGTTATAGAAAGTTATTAATTCAACCTCCTATTGGACTTGACTGTCTTTTAATTAGAGTTGTTAACGGAAGATAATTTGTTCCATTAGATTTTGAATTTTAAATACTGTGGAATTTCTCACTTTGGATTTTTACACTCTGAAAAAAACATGTTAGAATTATCTTTATTATGAATTTTAGTTGCTGAAATTTTTTATATATTTAATCAATATATATCAAATTCAAAATTCAGATTTAATCTTTTAAATATTCAGCACATTTCAAGTCATCAAAATCTGTGTAAAATTGTAAAGAGTCAACAAAGATCCAAGATGCCAAGGCAAAAACAAACAAAGATGTGTGAGTAAGGAGGACATTGGCTGTTCTCAGGTACATACTTGGAGTTGTGTTTTGTTTCATTCGCACATGTTTGAGTAATCCTGCCTTATTAGTCTGTTTACGTCACCAAAGCTCAAAATGCTCCTTTTAGTTCAGTAGAAATTGGCAGTTCTGGTGCTGAAATGATCCAAATGTTTTTAGTAGGGATGGGCATGATTAGTCGACTAATCCATAATTGATCATTTAGTAGTTTGTCGATTACATTTATTTTCAATCAACAAACCAAATGTACGTGGACGAGGCTGCGTCTGACAGCACAAACACCGGAGTTGAAGCCTCACAGTCCCATATTTGGGCTCTGGCACCTCCTTGGAGATCACTGTACTGCTCAGTGAGTGTGGTTACATGAACATCAGTGTCCCGGTTCCGCCATGGTGCATGTATACGCAGTATGCTGGTTACTGCAACATAAAGAGCTGCTCTAAACCTGCACATTTATGATCTCTGAAAACATGAACTATCTCCAACACAACACACACAGAACACACTCATCATCATCATCAACATCCCTCTGTCACAGAAAAAAAACAGTCATGTCCTTTAGTCTGATAGAGGCTGAATGCGTCAGGGCACAAAGAAAGCAGTTTTTTGTAGTTTTTTTTTAAGCACTTACAGTTTATACAAATGATCCATGTGGTTTTAAGTTTTGTTTCTGTAAAACATAAACAAACATGCCAAAGCTGCATTAAACACATTATAATGTCAAACGGGCTGATGTTTTGGTTTATATGTTGTAAAGTTGAGTTTATTTATGCAGATTAGTAATAGTAATAACTAGAAAAGCACTCAGAGAGCGCAGACCTCCACCAAGGACTACCCCAATTTTTTATATAAATTGCGATAAAATCAGTCTTCTGGATCAGATCCGGATCAGCCTTTGGAATATGAAAGAGGATCCCATTGTCCATCCCTGAGTCAAATGTCATGGGGTTTGGTCAATAATTAACCGAGATATTGAGAAACTAAATTTTTGGCCCCATTTACCACAATGTTAACTAAAATTTCAAAGTGATCTAGAATCCAGGATTTCTTCTGGATCACCCCCAAAATGAAATCAGTTCTTCCTTTTCACATTTCCAACAAATCCTGAAAATTTCATCAAAATCGGTCCATAACTTTTTGAGTTATGTTGCTAACAGACAAACAAACAGACAAACAACGTCGGCAAAAACATAACCTCCTTGGCGGAGGTAATAATGATATTACTTTTAATATATAAAAACGTTAATTATTAATCGAAATTTGGTTATTTAATTCTCCTGATGATCGATTAACAAAATTTTATCAAATGCACATTCTTAGTTTCTAGTGAAGGTGCATGGAGTTTAAAAATACAGTGGAGCAAATTGGACCAGAGTGTTTCCTGTTTGAGAGAAGAACTCAGCCTAAATCAGCAGAGTTTGTGTGTTAAACGTGTGAATGAAACAAAACACAACTCCAGGTCTGTTTGTGACGAGGAAACAACATTAGAAAATAACAGAGATCAGAAAATAGCGTGATATGGGCCATTTAAAAACGACAGATTATTTTTTATCGTCTGTAACTCTACAAATAAAGCCATATAAACACTTTTTATTCCCCTACATTTTAAAGTTCTTGCCCTTTACAGCATATCCCACGTGGTGATATTCAAATCTCTCTACTTAGTCTGTACTTTTAGTCCATGTTCAGCTGATGAGCTCCCAGGGGACACGGTCTTGTACTGCGTAACAGCCTTTATCTCCCCCCAGCGTAGAACAGACACTGGATCTTCACCTGGAATTAGGAAGTCTGCACTAATATACACAAGAAGTCCTGTTCCAAATCCTTAAATAATCTTTGCCAGTGTCTGCAGATAGTGGAATAAACTGGTGAAGATATGTGAGGTTCTGTGAGGTTCTGTGAAGTCGAAAAATCCAGGTATTTTTGCCACTCTGTGCTTGTGTCAGAAATTGCATTCCACGTCTACACATATTTTAGAATGAAATATTATGTTTACTTTTTAAACTTGGGAAATGTTTTGGGGCTACTTTCCTGAACTTAAATGACCCATATTACATTATTTTCTAATATATTATATGTAATGTTTCCTCTTTATAAACAGACCTGGAGTTTTGTTTCATTCACACATGTTTTACACACAAACTCTGCAGATTTAGACTGAGAATTTCTCTCAAACTTAAAACACTCCACCTTGTGATGTCATGTGGCAATACAGGAAGTGCTACACTAGGTTTTTAAACTCCATACACATTCATTAAAATCATTAGGATAATTTTATCCCGGAATTGCCAGTCTCTCCTGACCAAAAGGTCACAGGAGCTCTTCAGTTGAAAACTAGGGCTGCGTGACATCTTAAGGTGGAGCGGAGCATTTTGAGGTTTGGAGATGCAGACAGACTAATAATAAAGGGTTACTCAGATACATTTGAATGAGACAAAACACAA